CAGTATTTATAACAAATTATGTCTGTAGTAGAGTGGACAGCTGAATCTGACCTATATAATAATCACTGCATGTATTTTCTTCTCTGGAATTTCTCTCATCAAGAGATCAAGATGCTTATTAAACTTTTGATTACTTATTTATATTAAACAGATGAATAATTGAAAACATTTTAGAATATATATGTACATCAAAAAGACACTAATACAATTAATGTGGCTACGATGACTTACAGCTCATTAATTTTAGCTTAATGAAACACATGTTGTCTCACACTACAGTCAATTCATGTTTGTTTTCCTTTTATTGTGTGTTAAGTGTAAGCAAAATGAAGTATTTTAGAGAAAGAGAAACATATATTCTTACCAGAAAGTGCCCATGAAAATCTTGGAAGAACACAGAAGGCACCATTAATAACATAATCCAAAATAGAACTGGTCTGCACTGTAGCAGCTTATGGGGCCTTACTTAATAAATCTTTCTGAAATATTAAAGAAGTAGAACATATAGGCATATATAAAAATATAATGACACCTAGATGATGCTCACGATTCTTTTTAACCTTGCTGAAGGATAAATATCAAGTGGCTGGTTGTCAAAATCTTTTCAGGGCGTTATTTCTACAGGATTTTTAGCCAAACTTGGTGAAGTTAGTAGAAGAACTTTTTGCTCAGGTAAGGCTATGCCAGCTTCCTCCAAAAAACATTTGCTGCTTTTTCTGTTTTCTGGAGTGTATGGTGGGCGGGAAGGAGGGCAGGGTGTACGTCACCATTTTATAGTCCCTGACGCTCTCAAACATCAAATACTTCTAAATTCCTGAACGACACTTCCAGCTGAGGCTAGCTGCATATGTCCTACTCAAAATTGATTAGAACTGAAGAGTTTGAAGGCAGTTCACAAATGAATCATCCGATAGTCAAGCAGAAAAGCACTGTGAGGTAGAATGAGTGAAGCGTGCAAGTCACAGGAAACGAGGACAAACGAGAGTCAGCAAGCCGTAAGAGGTAAAATGATCTTCCAAAACTCCAAAGGTGACTGGCGTATGAGAGGTCTGTGTGCTACTCACTGACTAGCATCACCCTCCATCTAAAAAAGGGAAACACTGGTAGTGTGCAAGAGCCACTTCTAACCAAGGATGAAAACACAGAGGACACTTTGCAGTATAAATTATATTTGAGATTTCACATAACAGTACGTTTCATCCTGACAGTACGCACTTTGTTGCGTACAGTGGAGTTTCTAACCCTTATATCTTGTTTTCACAGTAGTGAAAGATGGGTCATATCCACTATCCTGATCTAGCTGATGTACTCTGATACTTTTACACTGTCACTGCAGACCTGGCCATAAGGGAATTGAAGCTGAGGTAGGGTATCTTAGTTGGGTTTTTGGAGGCTACCCAGCTGCTGGGATCAACAAAAGCATGCTATGAATCACCAGACTATTGTTGCCCTTCTGCCCTGGTCACTCCTACATGATTAATGGGTATCACCAAAAACCAAGTCTAATAGTAGATACAGGGAGCCTAATCATCTGACCTTACAAAACCATACAAGTTGCACCAGTTATTGAAATCGGTAAGAATCTTTAAACCATTTTCAAGTAAAGACTGGATTATGAATACCTCTCTTAAGTGTCCACTAAAAATGTTAAAAATCCATTTACTTGAAGACTTTGATTCTGGTAGCAATCAAAGCAATTAACATCACATAAGATATTTTATACTTGACTGCTTGCTTAGATGAGAAAAGCAACAGCTTTCTGACTTACAAGCCCTTTACATACACTGCTAGCAAAATGCGTTGCATAAAAGCATGTAACGCCACACTCGGACCTAAACTGTGATGAGAAGTATCTAGAACGTTCACAAAAATCACAGTCCTGACTCCCTTAATTTAATGTGATTACATGATGCAGTTCTGTGATTTAATGTAAGTCAGATCAAGCCTAAGATGAAAGCACTTGCAATACTCCACCAACTCCAGTCACAGTAGCAGCTGTTTTGCCACTTGATTACACCCATTTGAAATAAACTAATCCAGGGAACCTCAGACACAGATCATAGCACCAATCTTCAAAGAGAAAAATACGAAATTGTAAAACAATTGACAGCACAGAGTCAGTTGAGCTGGAAAGTTCATTACCTGGAATCCCATATTATAAATTGTGCAAAATAATACAGAAGAAGTAACCCACAAATAAAACTAATAGAAAGACAAATATATTGAGATATGAGTAATGTAGAAAAGAGTACAACTAGGTAACAGCTAAAAGGAAGAGAAGATCATTGGAATACAGAAATTATACATTTAAAAACAAAAGCTAAACTGCAGAAACATCTCCAACTCTGTGATAGAAATAAAAAGGTGACAAGAGCTTATTTAACCTTGATATAGGTATACTCAGGAAAAAAAAAAAAGAATAAGTAATCAACACTAGGCCTTGGATAGCAATGAGGAAAGCATTCGTTCTCTATCAAAGCACAGCTCATTTAATTACAATCAGCATATTTGTGTCAAGCAAATGAATAACTAATGGCCAGAAGACCTTACCAGCGTTGCTGCAAATCACTAATTGCTAGCTGGCCAAATGCAAAACGTGTTAGCTACAGGTGAGGAAAAGCTTGTAAGAATAGGTATTACTTTTGATTAGAATAAGTACTTAGGTATTTAGCTGGAGAAAATAGAAAGCTGATTTTAATTAGATAATTTTATATAATGTTTAGAGAGAACTGTTTGTAAGGGTCCAGATGAGGTTGTTAGTTGCTGTTGTGTGAAGGAGCATGCCTAATTATTGCCTGTAAGAGATAGAGGTCTGTAGGAAAGCTGATATGAGCATAATTGTACAGTCTCAAAAGAGTAGTATTTATTTTATTTTTAATATCCAGTACTCCACACCCTGCTCCCCATGCCCCTGGGCCCCAAACCTGTGGGATTTTTTGCTTGGTTTTAGGAGGTTAGTTTGGGGGTCAGGAGGGTTGGTAGGTTTTGGTAGATGAGGCAAGCAGACAGAGATGAGCAAAAAGACGTAAAGAGAAACTAAAATTGTGTTGTTTTGGCGTTGTGACACTACAAACTGAAAAATGTGTTTAATGTATCTAATGTATTTAATTTGCTCAGAACCTTTAATGCTGGATACTAAGATCATGATTCTTTCGGGCATTATCTCATGTCTCAAAATGGGGTCTTCACACTGCATAAGGAAATAGGCCTGCAGAGCAACTTATCTACTGAAAGGAAACCCAACCCCAACAGTATCTACTGTCTGTAAGTTAAATGATGTTTATTTACACAACTGCAAAAGCTACATAGACAAAGCAGCTATTCTGAACTAAAGAAACAAAATTTAAGAAGACCCACAAATTCTTCCACAAAGTGAGTAAGGCTAAATGTATATGTAACACAGACTATGGCTTCATTTCATTATCTATTAGTCTATTAGCTTTTCCAGTTTTAAATCAGCTTGCCACACCATACCCAAGTTGTAATGAGTAAAATCAATCAGGTAAAAAGAGCTTTTAGAAAAAAAACCACACAGTAGCTTGAAGATACTCATTTCTGAGATATAAGAACACCAATTAGTCCATGATTAGTAAGTTCTAGCTTAGTTATTTCTTCTGTTACAAAGCAGAAATTAATCTAAATTCAGCAGTCTGTGCCCTGTAAGCTTAAGCATATACTAATGAGCTACTCCAGTGTTACAAAACAACATAACTGAAGAAGACAGTCAGCTGTTTTTTTTTTTTCTTTCAGTGAGGTGAAACAGTTCCCTGGTACCTGCCTTCAAGCTTGACACTCCGCAATTGAGGCTTCCTTCAATAGCAGGTTGCAAGTAAAACTATAAACTTTATCTTCCACTTAATGGCCTTTCCAGGTGTAAACTCACATGGTATCAATTTTCATGATCACTTATTATTGCTATGGTTTCTTTCTTAAGTGTTTGAAATTAAGTTGATTACATTTGTCCACCAGATGAGTTCCTTTTGGCAACTGGAAACAAATGACCTTTTCCAAGCTGTGCACACTATCTTCTGCCCAAACTGTGACCAGAGGACAACTAGCAATTAAACGCTGTTTTGAGTGGTTTAACTCTACCACAGTGTTTTCATTTCAAAAGATGACATGGTTTAGAACTAGCTCATGTGCAGCATGACCCAGAAGTCTGGAAAAAGCTTATCTTGGTATCCGCTGCAACAGGCGATTTCTGATGGTTAAATAGTTAAGATGAATGGGTTTTTTTACTCCTCTAACTTAACTGTTTAATAAGGCAGCTGTTGCTTTGCCTCCGTTTCCCACACTGGCAGCATAACCGCCTAAGCAACTGAGCGCGGCCCGTGTGCGGGGAGGGCCGGCCCGTCAGCCCGCGCAAACCGG